TCTGTGAGTGGATTCACATTCCTGACGTGTGGTGAGGACTCATCATTGGCAGCTTTTTTTCTCTTAGCCAGAACCGTGAGGGTCTAATGAGATGATGGGTTCGAGCACAGGTCCCAGACTATCAGTCAGGAACCTGGGAGAGTTTTGTGGATATCCTGAAGCTCAGTTTCCCTGCCACATTTGTCTGGGGTGGGACAACCGTTTTAGTTATTTAATGTTAGGCTAGAAGATGTACCAAGGGAGGTGACAAACTGAAACCACCAACCGTTTGAGCTGTAGGCTGCATCGAAGCAGATGGTGAGGGCCCCAGGGCCAGCCCACTTCCTCCCTCTCTGCCATGTATCTCCCTCACACTAGCCGGCTTCCCAAGGCTAGAGGAAGTGGGGCCAGGACCAGGCCTTCAGAGTGTGCAGAGGGAACCTGGGCAGGGGTTGGCAGTTGTCAGGGTAAGGACAGATGCCTCTGAGGTCTTGCTGGGTCGGAGGGCCACTGTGCAGTAACCCCTCCCCTCTCACATCCATGCCTGCCCAGGACTCCCTTGAGGTTGTAARCCATTGTCTGAAAGGTGTCCAGCCCAAGAGAGGCAGGCTGGAGAGGAGCAGAGCTGAATCTTTTCTCAGAGGAAATGCAGTTGTGGTTTTGAGACGTTCATATTTCACATCTGTGGTTGGCGTTTCCCAGGGTTCTCCGAGGTGAATGCAGGGTCAGCCCCATGTGGACAAATAAGGTTCACAGTGACCTTAGCAACAGGCTTCACTGCCCATTGGCTGCCACTGCTGCCGCCAGCCAATGGGGCCTCCGGAGGCAGCACCCAAGCTGGGTGACACTTCCACATGTGCAGGGGCCCAACTCTGTCACAAATCACTGCCTTTGAAGCACTAAGAGCACTCTGGACAAAGGTGGACGGGGGCAGGGTGGAAAGAGAGGACAGCCCAGGTGCCTGTGTTTCAGAGTCCACCTGACTTGAATGCTCTCACAGCACCCAACCAGCACCCTGGCCTTGGCAGCCCGATCCCACCTTGCCAGGACAAGCTCTGGCTGTCAACCTTGAACTCCGCAATAGTAATCATTTCATTAGTGCTGCCTGGTTTAGTTCCATTCATTTCTCTTTTGTGCCAGGCAGTTTGGCTAAGTACCTGCAACACCTTGTATCTTTTATCCCTCTCAACAACCCTGGGAGTCAGTGAGTCCCATTTTACAGATGCAGAAACTGAGGCTAAAGGAAATAGGTACTAGCCCAAGGTTCTAAGAAGTGGGGAAGCCACAATTTAAACCCAACTGAAACAAGTGTACATCCCATGCTATTAGCCAGCACACTGCATGCACTGTCACCTTGACACCTCTATGGCTCAGTGCCTTCATATTGAGACACGGGGACAATAATACCTGTGCCTCACAGGGTTGGGCGATGATTGCACTGAGTGATTTATGCCTGGGAACCTAGTGCAAAGTGCTGGATTGTCCAGTTGCACACCTCAGCAACAGCAGCCTTGGTTCCCCACCCACGGCATGCGCCACAAGCAGCTCGCACGTTCTGCTCTCTCACAGAGTGTAATGCAGAAACATTGAGGTTTGTGGACCAGACTTCGCTGGGCCCTCATATTTGGTTTCCACTTCCTTTTTCTTAACCTTCTCCTACCCCCACCCAACTACATCACAGATGTGGGGAGGCCAGAGAGGAGCCTGCTGCTTGAGGGCTTCAGCCTGCTCAGGGGACAGGGCTGGCTGGGCTGGAAGGGTCGAAGTTCTAGGGCCAGAAGGTGGAAGCGTCCAGCTGTAAGGRCAGCCATCTGTCATCTCCTCTACCCCAGACCGTGCCAGGAGTTACAGCACTGTTCCCCTGAGAAGCGTTTTCTGGATACAAATGATCTGGAAAAGATGGAAACCAGCGACTGGAGTTGTGGCTCAGTGGTAGCACACTTGCCTGGCATGAGTGAGGCACTGGGTTCGATTCTCAGCACCACAAATAAATAAATACATAAAATAAAGGTCTATCAACAACTTGAAAAAAAAATATTTATAYATATATTTTTTAAGATGAAAACATATATATCTTGTAAGCCAAAATCCCGCTCCTCACAATCTGCTCTGTGTGCACCAGCACGAGATAGCGCCCAAACACCCATCGGCAGCAAAGAAAACCAGTGAACTGAGCATCAATGGACAAGAGTGCGCCGCKTCCCGTGGCACCAGCCGCGATATTGTATGCTAATACTGTAATGACGAAGGGTTCTCATTAACAGAACGATGAGTAAAAGACTGTAGGTGGTCTAATTCCTTTTGTAAAATCTTTAACAGGGCTGGATTCTTAAGCACACTTTTGGAGGAGATCAAATCCCTAAAAAGTACAGGAATGATCACAAATGTCACTTTAGTTTTGGCCGCAGAGGAGAGTTGGGGTTGTGAATAGGAGGGACACATGGGGAGATTTTGAGGTGTTGTCTCTTGACCTGGGTGTGGTTATATAAAGGTTTGCTTTATGATTATGAGTTAAAACCGAACATATGTGATGCATACTTTTCTGCATGATTATTGTTTCACCATACAAAAAGTAAATAAAAAGTATAGGGGCCAGGCACGGTGGCACACTCCTATAATCCCAGCAGCTGGGGAGGCTGAGGCAGGAGAATGGCAGATTCAAAGCCAGCCTCAGCAACTTCGTAAGGCCCTAAGCAACTTAGCAAGATACTGTCTCAAAATTAAAAAATAAAATAAAATTTWAAAAGCTGGGGATGTGGCTCAGTGGTAAAGCACCCCTGGGTTCAATCCCCAGTACCAAAAAAAGAAAAAAGCATGTGAACATCTTCTGGTTCTGAACAGTGCCGTGAATGGACAGGGAGCTCTTCCCCACCCTGTGCCTCTTTGGGGACAGCACTGCAGAGTGCCACTACTTACTGCACTAAAGCTGTCACTGCTGATTGAAGCTAAAGACCACTGTGGAATGCAGAACAGGAGGACATCCTCTGACATGTTCCTGCAGTCAGGGAAGATTGGTGGTGTGGGAACAGGAGCTAGGAGAAACCATGGTCAAGATTTGTCCGATTGTCAGGGAACTTAAGGAGCAGAGGGAATCCTGCAAATGACCCTGCCTGAGATGTAGCCCCACTTTGCCCCCACATAGTGCCAACTCAGCTGAGTCCCTCTCCTGGGACCCTCTCTTCAGAGATGCCTGTATTTGTTGATTATCCACCCTATGCCTGGTCCCTGCAGAATKCAAGGAAGAAATGGCCTTGAGCAATGGCCAATGCTGGAAGCTACAGAGTGCACCGTGAGGAGTCCAAGGCCACAGGATGAGGTTTTCCGGACTCTCTGCCCTAGGGACCTGGTTCTCTCCATGGGTGCAGACCTTATTTTCTTTATCCTCTTTTCCCTAGGCTGGCATGGGCCTTACCTGTAGTTAACAACTGCTGGCAAGAAAGTGTATCATGTGTGTTGTAGAGAGTAAGGTCCATTAGGATCCTGCTGCGCRAGCCACCCCCTGGGCCCCCTGCCTCTCTGGATCTCCCAGTCCCTCACCAGACAGCCCTGGCAACTGGATCCAGCTTCCTCAGGGGTGCCCAAGGCGGCTGCCCATGGGCCCTTCTTACACAGTACATCCTGGCAGATGTTAAAGGTGACCCTCCTTTCTCTTCTTCACACTAAATATGACTAATATCCGTAACTCTTCACCTCTGGCCCTCGACATACTGATTATCCAATCTGGAGAGACACAAAAGTATCTAGATGTGGTCTGAATGGGCAGAAACAGGGATGTGGATGGAAATTTGGGGTTTTCTTGCTTGCTTTGGCAGTTGGGGGATTTGAGTTGTAAYGGTGATGGCCGCTGGCATGGCCTCAGGCACTGCAGGAAGATTCAGAGTTGCTGCCTGTTGCTTCTTTCTTTGGTGTTCTCTTGGCCTTTACATAGGTGCTATTTTGATGTAAAAACCTGCAGCATAGCCCTCAACAGCACTGTTGTTTCTCCTCAATGAGCTTGAAAACTCCCTGAGGCAGCTAGCTGGTGGTAAGCACTCTTTAAATGTTAGCTAGTATTATTTGCTTTGTTATTTTATTATTTGAACAGACAATCATTTATGGCATTTAATGAGCATGTACTATGTGCCAAAAACTGTTAGGTGCCAATATAGCAGAGAACAGAATAGACCTGTCCCTGCCTGCCAGAGCTCCCAGGAAACTCTGAGAAGACTTGTTGATTGAATGATAAACCCTGATTGCACTCACTGTGATTAACACTTCCATAACCAGACATCTTTGGGTACCTTCTGTATGATCAACTGGGAACACACCCTCAGGTGCTAGAATGTAAGCAGTTGGAGGAGACCATTGTGGGAGTAAAAAAAAACAACTGCACTTGAGGCTGGGGCTGGGGCTGTAGCTCAGTGGTAGAGCACTTGCCTAGCATGTGTGATCCTAGTTCTGCCACAAACCCACTGTGTTACCATGGGTGAGTTCTCGACCTCTCTGAGTCTCAGTTATTTTACCAGTAAAATGGGGCTAACAATGCATCCAGAGGCACAAAAGAATCAAATAAGATCACCATGCTCCAGGGTGTGCTTTTCACATTTTAGTCTACAGAGCTTCTGATGGCCTAGAATTAAATAGCAGCACTTTTGTGCTGTGACCTGAAGTTAACCATCAATAACTGGTCGCTATTGTTAAGCACAAGTKGGGGGAAACAGGAGTCACTGCAGGCCAGCAGGCTCCTCATGGCTTGGCCAGGCTTTGTTCTTCAAGGAAGGGCAGGGCTCCGAGAATTGCAGATTATAATGCAGGCAAAGGCCAGGGGGCAGGACTCCCAGGGCAGGTCTGGGAGAAGCAGGCTGGGAAGGGAGGTGGTCAGCAACCTCGAGGCCTGAGTGAGGAGTCTGCCCTGCTCTCCAGGCAAGCATAGGGCACTGGAAGCTGGGTGTGGAGCAGCTTCAATGAGACCAAGGCACATGGTTCCATTTTGAGCTGCAAAGGATCAAGAGAACATCTTTTCCAGCATTTTCTCTCCCCAGGCAGACAAAGGCGAGGAAACAGTGAATCTCCAAGGTCACACAGTAAAGACTAGCCCCAGGACCAGGACCTCTGCCTCTGCATTGGTAGAATCCAGTTAAGGTGAGTTTGATCCCAGTCTATAACCCCCTGGAAGGAAGTCCTAGATTTATATATATATATATACACACACACACACACATATGTATATATACATATTTCTGATTATAAAAGCAATAGGTCATTGTAGAGGTTTTTAAACTATAGACATATAAAGAAAAAATATAATCACCTATAATGCCCTATCTAGACATTATCACCATTAGTATTATAATGTATTTCCTCCCTATGTATTCCATTATATATTATATATTCATTATATATTCATTAGGTTGGAATTATTTTGCGTATGGTTTCATAACAGAGTGTTTTCTGAGGAGGGACTGTTTTTGATGCAGAGGAACTCTAGAAAATCTTTTCCTTAAAAAATAAAAAGTGCAAAACCCCGGTGTGCATGTGTGCATGTGCCGTGGTTGAGAGGACATCCTGCAGGGCTGCAAGGTGGCTCTGTCAAGCATCCGGTGGGTGTGAGCTGTGCCGCGGTGGCTGTGGCCAGCTCCTCTTCTCCCCTGGCCCAGCTACAGCCTCCTGCCTGTGGGCGAGACAGTTTTGATGAGTCTGCACTCACCCTTCCTTTTCCAACACAACGCTGTGATCATCCACTCCACCAGAAGGCACTTAGGGCTCTGATCACTCTTGTTTATCAGTAACAACAGCATCTTATTCCGGGCAGCATCTCACCTGAGACTCACACGACCTGTGAGGCAGGTCCGACCAGTGCTGCTGGGCCCACTCTACAGATGGAGCAGTCTAGAGGCTTATTAGAGGCCAACCCAACTAGTTAAGTGGCAGAGCAGGGACTTTATGCAAATCCAAATGTGTCCAATTCAGTGACTTTTCCTTTAAGTGATTTCCTTTATTCCAGCTTTTCCTGAGCCAAATCGGAACCCCTGAGATAGGGAGGCCAGGACTGAGAACGCTGTATTACTGGTGTGTGAAGGGGCCATGGACTCCATCCTGGGGGTCTTTACCCAAGCCCTACAGGCTCTGACTGGCTGTCCTGGGTGGTCTGACCTCATGGCAGCTCATCTGGGATGACTCAGAACCTATATCTGAGTTCTGAGTGAGGTTTGGGGAGTGGGTCCAAGGAGGCCCTGTTTCCTGTAGAAGTGTCCAGCAGGGGCACTATTCCTGGGGACATCCTTCTTGACCCACCCAAGACACGGAGGTTCTGTTTCCTGCCCAAGGTTCCCTTCCCTCCAGAGCCTCCCAAACCAGAGGAGGTCTTTCCCAGCTGGGCTGTGTTACCCTGTGAGGCTGACTCCAACCAAGGCACAGGGACTTGGGGGAGCTGTATCACTAGGTGRTTCCCCCGTGTGTCCATTTCCTATTGCTGCTATAATGAATCACCCTAAATTTGGTGACTTACACAATACAATTCTGAGGGTCAGAGGTCCAAAACAGGTTTCACAGGGTTAAACTTGAGGTGTCAGCAGGGCTGCGTTCCTTTCTGGAGGTTCTAGTAAAGAAATCCATCACCCATGTCCATCTTTCAGAGGCTGCCTGCATTCCTGGGCCTGTGCCACCTGCTCCATCTTCAAAGCCAGCAATGTCTTTGACATAATGCCATTCTCTGGTTTCACCCTTGCTGCCTTCCTCTTCCCTATTAGAGATACTTGTGATTACATTGGACCCAGACAGATAATACAGGTTGATCTATTTTAAAGTGAGCTAACTAACAACCTTAATTCCTCTTTCCACATAACATGGCATATTCACAAGCTTCCTTCACTTGGAGATGGACTTCTTGATTCCACCAGGCACCATTTTGGCCTACCACACCCAGACATGGAGGAGGAGGAAGGCAAGGCTTATGTACCATGCCTGGGGGATCCCAGGAAGCTGAGCCCTTCTCATCCAGGCACCCTGCACTTTTCAGGGGCTAGGGCCAAAGTGCAGTCCCTGAGGACTCGGACACTCAGTCTGAGGCCAGCTCCAGGACTGGAGGGGCATCCAGCCACATACCAGAGCCACTCCAGTGCATCCCTGGCTCCCTCTGATCTCTGGCCCCAGTTCACCTTTCTCAGGTAATAACAGCCTGTCTTGCTCATTTCCTTTCTCCTGTCCTTCTCTGGGCCTTAGGCTGGGACCTCAAAGAGATCCCAAGGAAGTGAGGCCCCTAAGCCAGACCTCTGTCCCTGGACTGCTTGGTGAGGGCCTGATGGATCTGGGATTCCTGCAGAAGGTTCTGCTGGCAGAACAGAACGCGGGGGCTGGACAAAGCCTTTCACCCTCAAGTAAGTTAACCAGCTGGCCCTGGTTTGCCTAGGACTTCCTCACTTTTTGCAATGCAAGTCCCAAATCCTGGGAAACTCTCATTCCTGAGCAGATTGAGACAGTTGTTCACCTTATCTGCAAGGCCTTTTGAACCTGCAAACCTGCTCTGGATCACACCGCACCTTGCATAGCTGGATTCCTGGATGCAAGGGAGACTTGGTAGCTGAGGAAGGACCCTGAGCCAGTGCCGGGACATTCCCATCAGAGTCGCAAGCTGTATAGACTGTGCCTGTGTCAACAGCACAGAGCTCCTAGCCATAGCATGGGGGAGAGTAGAAAGTGCATTTTCACCTGAGCCTCTAAAAATATAGCAACCTGGTCACTTCTGTGTGGTCTATTACGGTTGGCTTTAATAAATATTTTTTATTTCTACCTGTATTTCTTCGTTTTTGTACAACTAAGCCATGTTCCTTTTATTTGTGTATGTTTTCAATAAAAGAAAGTCATTGATGACTCAGCCCTCCCTCTCCAGTCCTGCTGAGGGAAACGGGCCAGTTGTGCTGCATGGTGTGCACACAGTGGCCCTTATTCTGGGGCATTGAACTTGCCTGCTAATTGGTCATGCATATTCTGCCCAGGGCTATACTGCAAGGACAGGACTAGTTACTCCTTTGTACCCCCTTGTCTCTCAGCCTATTCCCCTGCACCCTGGGGCTCCAGCCAGGCTTGTCCCTTAAGGAAGGACTCAGAGCCGAGAAGGTGAACAGGCCAGTAGGAGATGCTCTCAAGTGGGAGAATGCGGAGGAAAGGAGCCATTTGCCCCTGGGGACCCTCAAGTCTGGTTGGAGATATTGGGTACCCTAAAGACCACGTGAGAAGTGAAAGGCAGGTGGAAGAGCCCAGCACCAGATGGTGAGACTGCCTGAGAGCTGCCAGAGGTCAGATAAGGGACAGCCCCAGGGCCACACTGTACAAGTCTTAAAATAGCCAGAAGCTGAAAATGGGGTATCCTCGAGTGCCCTGAAGCAAGACCCCTCCACACACTTAGGGGCAGATCGTCTCCTAGGCCCAGAATTCTGGCTGCCTGCCCCTTTATGGCAGAAGGGTGGTGGTGAATAGTCACCAAGATGTTCCAGTCCAGGACGGTTGGACACCCCTTCAAGTCCCTCTTCCCTGCCCGCTGCCCCCATACTACATTGGAATGCCAGGCCCCAACCCATGCTGTGGCTGTCCCAACCTCTGGACTTCTAGTTCCCTTCCCCATCTCAACAAGCCCAGCAGGAGCTCTTGGAGGGGAGCCCTGGATCCCCAGCAGAGGCAACTACCCTCCATCTCCCACAGGCAGTGTCTGCAGTCCCCATCTCAGTGCACCATTGTCCTGGTGAGGCCAACACAACAGGACTTCTTGCTTGGCTCATAGCTTCAGAAAAGTACTCACAGTTCTGGACTAATGACTCCCCTCCCAATGGAACCCAGATCCCACACACCAACTCTGTGTCCCCGTAACTCCCTCATTCCATGAATTCAGCTGGCTCAGAGAAGCCAGAGGTCTGGTTTAGAGTAGAAGAACAAGTCGCCTTGCTCTGACAGAAACATGGCTGAAAAGGCCTCTTTGATCCCTAGAGCTGAGACTTGGCAGGCCAGAGTCCTCTGGAGCAGACTTGTGAGGCTCAGCTGCCCCCTGCACAGAGGCCAAGTTGCAAATCTATCTGTGTTACAGCGCCCTAGGGCCCCACCCCCTCGAAACTGCAGGTGGCCTCCTGGGTATAGGTGGGGCATTGCTTCTCTTGAGGGCCAATCCAAACCCCACCCTGTTGGGGCCCCCGAAGCCTGTGAACAGCAGAGCCATGTTTTCTGGAGTGTCAGGAGGGGGGGGTGCTATCCTGAAGCAGCTCCAGCTTTTGCTGTCTTCCATCAAGGTCCCCAGATGCTTTTATTTTTTATTTTATTTTTTTCCATGCTGGGGATGGAATCCAGGGCCTTGTGATTGCCAGGCAAGCATTCTACCATGGAGATACATCCTCAGTCCACCAGGTAATTTTCTTGGCATAGAGGACTAGTGCCCCTTGCCAATTTTTTCGAGCTTCCACCCCAGGCCTCAGTTTCCTTCTCTGCAGGCAGCCTGATATTGTGGAACCACCCCAGGTACTGGGCACAGACAGATGTGGGTTGGAATCCAACCTCCATACTGATGAGCTGAGTCATCCTGGGCAAGCCCCTTATGCTTATTGAGTGTTGGTTTCCTGGTCTGTGAACAGGGATATGTGTATGGCAAGGAGTGGGGGTGCCAGTGCAATGGTGCATATGGGGTGGCACAGTGCCTGGCACAAAATGGGCACCGGAGTTCTACATTATTATAAAGCCAAATTTTGAGGTCTTTTTTTAGTCATCTCCTTGGGTGAGGAATAGGAAGCTGGGTGACTGCCCCACCCCTTTCATTCAGTTTCCATGTCTTTGCATCATTGACTCCAGGATCTCCCCAGTTGAAATTAAACTCAGTGTGGACTCCATAGACCTGTCTCACCACTGAACTCAGAGAAGTAGGGGCTTCTTCCTTTTGCAACTCTGACCTCAGATGAGCAGTAGAAATGGGTCACTCTGGAGCTGCCTGGATCTAAAAAAAAAACTACCTGGCCATTCATCTAGTCTTTAGACTTAGTCCCACAAGGGAGCTGTGGCTGATAAAGCCAAGTTCCTCCCGGCCAAGTGCTTTTACCCCTGGATAAGGCATGTGTAGGTTTCCCATTCCTTCCCAGGCCTCCTGCCTCTGTGACAGTTGGCAGAAGGGGAAAAATGTTAATGCTGAGTTCCTATGAATTTGACACATCTTGGGTGTGGAGAGTGAGTCCTGCCCAAGAAATGGCATTACATTTAACAGAGAAAAAACATTTCCTTGTGTGCTCCAAAAGAGTGACTTGCAAAAAAATCCATAACCCCTGCTCCACTCCCTGGCATCCCTGAGAGGTTTTTGGGATCTGTACTCAGTGGTCCTAGAGAATGACAGCCTGGGCGTGCCCCAGTTCCACCAACCAGAAGGCATCATTCTGGAGAAAAGAACTCCACCTCCAACCAAGCCCAGGGCTTTTCCCAGAATTTCAGTTCTGTCCTTGGCAGGCTACCTCTGGAGATGTCCAGAGATCTTATCCCTGAAGTCAGGGTGGTCACAACATCCTGCACACAGTTCTCTGAGAAAGTGGATACACCAAGAAGGGATAGTTTGCATATTTGCCTGTAGCTTTCTTCCCATTGCCAAATGAGTTGAATTAACAAACCAGTCCATTTATAGTGACACCTTTGGAGCAAGGCAAGAGAACTCTTATTACTGACCCAGAAATGCCCTTAAACATCTGTAAACTTAGCCCACTGTGGGAGTTTTAGCTGGTGTGGCTGAGCCCCACGTGCTAGCTTATCCCATTGGAAAGTGGTACTTGATGACCATGATGTCATCACAACCCCAAGAAATACCTTTCAAAGACTGCCTAGCTCCCTCAATCAAGAGCTTCTACCAGGAGTGCTTAGACCAAAACTCTTAGGAATGACCCACAGAAGCATTGGCAAGTTCTTAGAATGATCTTAAACTTTCAGGCCCAGATTTGGCTCAAATTATAATGATGTTGYTACATTCCAGGCACTTTGTTAACGATTTACCACCAACAGCCATCACCTTCAGGTGAGCAGTTGGGTCTTATGTATCATATTTGTCTTCTGGGCAAGGGCTAAGGTCCATGGTGGTCTGGTTGTATCCCACACAGCCCCAGGACCTCCCTATCTTGGGAGAGAGGTTGCAGAGTTTGGCAACTCTTCTCTGGACATCCCAAGGTGTTAGTCCCATGAGTTGGAGGACAGCAGGTCTCCATCTTCTTTCTGAAGGTTGGGTACTGATGGGCATAATTCTATCATTTTGGTAATGTGTAATTGATGAATTTTGCTTGTTAGTACTTGAGAGACTTCAACAGCTGCTGGAACTTCATAATACCCACTGCCTACTCTCCATCAGGGATCAGGACAGAGTAAACAAGGCAGAAGTAGGCACTGATGTTTGTTCTGGGTTACTCTCTCCTTCCTCCCATCACTTCTCAGTCTACTTTATCTGACTTCACAAGCCCAAACCCCACCATCATTAACTAAATGCTACCAGCTAGAAAATCCCAGATAGAAACCACAGGAGGTTGACCAGTCTAGTTCTTCTTGGTAAAGACTGGGTCCTAGAAGAGCTAGAAAAGGCTATCTTGTCCATCACTCTGCCCCCAGGTGAAGATATTCTTGAAAACCCCAAGTGGATTTTCTGATGAGCAGGGCTTACAATGGGGGCCTGTCCAGGCTCCCACGTACACTCACCCAGCATGAGCACCTACCACTCACAGCTTCTGAGATCAGAGAATTGTACTTCCTGAGCTCGGCAGAAAATCTGTCAAACTTTGCCCATTTTTCCCATTTACTCATCATTTTCTCATTTAGCCTTCCCTTTCCACCAAGGGCCAACACTCCTTCCAGAGCCTTGGTCCCAGTTATTGATTTCTGGGACTGAGTGTGGAAGATGTATCTACATGTATCCATATCCCTAAGCAATGCTATCACTGCCATGACCCTGTTCCCTAGGTGATGCTGGTGATACACTCAACTTACCTACTGCTGGGTGCTATTAATGCCCTAGGGCTAGAGACAAGGGAGAGAGATGATTAAAACCCATACCTTCCACCCTCAGACATTTTGTACAATTTGGGCCTGACCTTAAGGGAGAATTATCATATATTAGTGGTTCCCTAATTATAGTTTTCAGAACCACTGCTCTGATCAAGTATATCCCCTTATAAAGATTGTGTGTAATAGCCCAGACAGAACTCTGGGAAGATATGGAATTTTTAAAAATCTGCTTCATGAGGCCAGCCAAGGTTTCCCTCATGCATTTGTGTAAGGACCTATTTCCCACTACACTGCAGGGCTGGTGTTCAGCACCTATGGAGTGATTGTTGGTTGTTGAAATAATAAGTCTTGAGGGCTGGGGATGTGTCTCAGTGGTAGAGTGCTTACCTAGCATGTGCACCAGGCCCTGGGTCAATACCCAGCGCATACACACACACACACACACACACACACATAATTAAAGCCTTGAACTAACAGGCACATTTTAACTAAATAAAATTTAAACTTGTTCCTGAATGTGTCACTGGCCACATTTAAACTGCTCAACTGGCACACGTGGCTCATGCAAGTGCCTACAGAATTGAACAGTGTAGAAAGAGTGTTTCTATCACTGTATTAATTGGATAGGAAGTGATGGCCATCACAGCACACCTTGGGGACACTGCTTGGGTGGTTGTCTGTTCTGATCATCTGTGATTGTATCATAATAATTGTTGGACATTTGG